TACTAGACAGACATAATGTTAACTAGGATGTTATATACTCCATATAGCTAACTACAATAAATCATAACGTCATACTAGACAGACATAATGTTAACTAGGATGTTATATACTCCATATAGCTAACTACAATAAATCATAACGTCATACTAGACAGACATAATGTTAACTAGGATGTTATATACTCCATATAGCTAACTACAATTAATCATAACGTCATACTAGACAGACATAATGTTAACTAGGATGTATTCTACTTCGTATAGCTAACCACTCAAGCTTCGTAAGATTGACCAGCAGGAGTTGGGGAAAAAATGACTCATTCACTTCTTAATTGCTTGACAAATGAAAATTTCTATGTTTTCTAAAAATTCTGTTGTTCAAAGGTATCAAAATAAAAATAGTGATATTTACTGTTTGAAATTAATTGGACAATGACCCCTACACAGGCCTGATTCTGCCCTATAAACAGGATTGATACAGAGTACAAGTCAGAACTAACCTTATTGTAGCTCCTAACAATTAATTGTTGTGATACCTGTGTCATGTACCACAGAAATCAATTGTTAGATCAGTTGGATCACCAGTGCTCTAGCTTGTTCTCAGATGTCTGATCTAGTCTCCTGATGGTTGCGCGGCAGCCACAATACAAAGATAAGGGGTACGGAAGAAACAAGCATGGATAAATTAACCGAGTTTCTTTTTTAACAACTGTGACCATCTAAGCTCCTTTTTTCAGTGAAAGGAGAGGAAAAGATCAGTTTAATGCATCAGGTTACAATTTGGACATATAAACACTTAAGGGAAGAGAGAAAAAAGGCTTTTACAAAGACAGGTAGTCTTTATATGGAGGTTCAAATAATATGTATTGTACAAAATTAAGACAGAAAAACTGTGACTATCATCAATAGATATTCATGACATACAAGTGGCATTTATAGAAAGCTATTTAATATAAAGGTGACCTTCATACACAATATCTGTTCTACACATCTGACCTTTATAGACAGGTAATCTGATATGCAGGTGACCTTCACAAACAATATTTATTTATAGACGTGACTTATAAAATATGTATTTGCTACATCATCTTTTATACAGTGGTAGCCTTTAAGTACAGGTATTTGTTATACACAAGTGCACTTTATGGACAGTTATTTCTTACACAGGAGTGGCTATTATGTAACATCATTTATTATAAAGAGGTGACCTCTACAGATAGTTATTTGTTTCCCAGGGTGGCCTTTATATACAGGTATTTATTCTATACAGATGACCTTTATAGACAGTTCTTTGTTAGCCAGGGTGGCCTTTACATACAAGTATTTATTCTATACAGATGACGTTTATAGACAGTTCTTAGTTAGCCAGGGGTGGCCTTTACATACAGGTATTTATTCTATACAGATGACCTTTATAGACAGTTCTTTGTTGCCCCAGGGGTGGCCTAGATATACAGGTATTTGTTATATATAGGTGACCTTTACAGACAGTTCTTTGTTACCCAAGGGTGGCCTTTACATACAGGTATTTGTTATATATAGGTGACCTTTACAGACAGTTCTTTGTTACCCAAGGGTGGCCTTTACATACAGGTATTTGTTATATATAGGTGACCTTTACAGACAGTTCTTTGTTACCCAAGAGTGGCCTTTACATACAGGTATTTATTCTATACAGTTGACCTTTATAGACAGTTCTTTGTTAGCCAGGTTGGCCTTTACCTACAGGTATTTATTCTATACATATGACCTTTATAGACAGTTCTTTGTTGCCCCAGGGGGTGGCCTTGATATACAGGTATTTGTTATATATAGGTGACCTTTACAGACCTTTTGTTACCCAAGGGTGGCCTTTACATACAGGTATTTAGTTATATACAGGTGGTTATTAATAGACACTCACTTGTTATATGCAGATGGGTTATATTACAGGTTTAAGTTGGAGAGTGCATTTAGATACAATTTATCTCCTTTCATACAGAGATCCACATGATATAAGATAGTGCTCACAGTATCTTATCTGGCTTGTCCAAGTAAACCAACTTTATGATTTAACAGACATGCTTTTGTGAAATTTAGTGTATTATATTTTTCTGTTGATAACTGTTCCAGTCAAAGTAAAATATAACTGATACTTGAATTCAATTCACAACTTACGTTCTTAAGGAGTGGTGTAAGAAAATAGGAAGGAAGGACGATAACACACCAATACAACACAGAAGGCTATACAAACTTAACCACATGTTAAACATTGATGTGTAAATTATGGTGAAATACAAAACCTACTGTTTACCTGACATTGACAAGTTTACCCCAGGTCATTATCATCATAGATTAGATATTGTACCAACACAGACACTGCAACACTTAAAAGCTAGACCAGAATGTTTCTAAAATCTAAGAGATATTATAATGAAGGCAGAATTGTTTAACTATTCGTCTCTTTATCGACTAATAAATAATAAAGCATGTTTCGTTTTCCACCTGGTGTATCACCAACATATATTTAATTTATCACTTAATTGACCATGATAGTTTTCATAAGCTGACCTCTGAATGCTAATTAATTAGCTCTCTAAATACAAAAGCAAAGGTTTGCTTATTGTAGATCTCAGACAAAGTCAGAAAAATATCTACAATTGGTATGTCATTCTTAATTTTAATTGGTTAGATTACTGAATTCATCAGTACAGGTATGTGTGAATATTCTGTGTCATATGAATTTCACATAGTGGGTATTCTGTCTCGTATGAATTTCACACATACCATATCAAAATGACGCATACTATACAAAGCCTACAACAGATGTTACGTAATGTTGAAGAGATGACAAATTTCAACCATATATAAACCAAACGCACTCATACTGACATCTTGTGGATGAAAAACCACTGATGTTTAGACACAAATCTTGCAGACAAAAAACAAGCTATGGAGACACACTGTATGTACCAGTCAAATCTGTAGTATCAAATATACATTGTACATCATGTCACATACTCTCAGTCATATAACAACAGAGTATTCAAAATCAACATCAGAAATCAGATTGGGACCTATAAGCTCTATACAGTAGTCCGGATTGTATAAACACCTGTGTGTAAGTGTATATACATAATTATACGTCAAACATACAAACCTGATCCTAAACCATCCTCCATGGAATCGTCACACTTTTTGCTGGAGCTTTTCTCCATTTTCATATCAATGGACGGCTTCTTAGATCGAGCCCCTATTGTAGATTTCTCCGCCCCCAGTGTGAACGAATGTTTAAGGTTTAAATAGAAAATCACTCAAAATTGCCAAGGGGAACCTAATCCAGATGAGGGAAGGTTTGTTTTCATTCACAATGCAAGCGGTAGTAAGTGAACACAATTCTAAAAATAGACTCTCAAATGATGCAAGTCAAAGGGTACACACCCCCCGAATTTTCTATACACACACCATCTCCCACAATTCACACATCACTTCCTGTTTTGTTTCTGAATATTCTTGGATTTCCTTGACTATATTTCTAAATATAGACTTCCAAAATGATGCAAGCTTGTAGCATCACACCTATCTACAGCCACTGTATCACTTCAATCCTGAATTCCACCACACTTGATGTCGTTGCTATGGCAATAGCAGAGATTTAACTTGTTTGTCCTTGCCTCTGCTATATAAGGAAGTGATATAGGAGTTAGCTGTTTTCCTATAGTCACAGTTGACTGGTATGCCCTGACAGTTCTATAACCAAGGGTCAACAGCATGCTGATCAATACACTTTAAGTCTGTACAATATGTGTGGGCGCTGTGTCATACTGTGTGTTACAGGAGATTTGTGTGCAATCATGATGTGTGACACATACGTTTGACATTGTACATGTGTATATCAGTGATGTGTGACACGTACATCTTGACATGTATAAATCTGACACATAGGCCTGGTATATTTGATGTTTCAGTACAAGTGTAATTCAGGATTGGTTTTTGACAATAAATTAAACTTGGCAGGTTTGTGACATCACATGATTATAACTTGATATATATAATTATTTTTCTGCAAAATCAAATTTTCAGTAGAAATTCTAGGTTGATACAGGATTAGTACATCACAGTAATCAATGAACATGATGAAAATCATGTTAACCTTTCTTTAAGCACATTAGAAGGTGTTTTTAAAGCCCATGGTGAGGTGTTTTAAAAGTCTATAGGAAGGATTTATGAAAGCATTTTTAAAGATGTTTTCAAACCCTATATGGGTAGTGCTTTCAAAGCTGATTTGAAGATACCCAGTTTCAAAGTCCCAAACTATAGTGTTTTCAAAGCTTATTTGAAGGCATTTGCAAAGGAAATTGGAAGGTGTTTTTCGAAGCATATTGGAATATAGCTTGAAAGCCTTTTCACTTGGGGAAGAATCCTCGAACAATTAATATCAATGATCTGTGACACTGATTCTCTCAGTCCTGATCATCCCTAAAGACAACCAATCTGACACTTGCATGCAATCTCCAGTGAAATTTTGTTCATGACGTCGTTTGGTTAATACGATCAATAACCCAAGTAAATCAACAGACTGATTTTCAAGTACATTCAGACAGATTTTTTAAAACCTAAAATTGCCATCAATTTCAAACCAATTATACCATCTAATGATTTATTGCGTAATGTAATGGTAGGGACAATTTTTTATATGAAATCTTGGATAGTGTCATAGATAAATTTGCAATACAAGATATCTGCCCTATTCTGGCATCCATATTGTGTAAGGTGTAATTTCTGATACAGCTGTCTCAAAATCATTTTAAGTACAGACATACACAGGAAAATGTCAGGTGTCTCAAAGTCTATCAGGATGAAGGCTAGAAAACCTTCAAGACAAATGTGGAGAGTATGCTAGCCCACTTACCTGTAAATAAAATTTTGCACTTCAGACAATATATTTTTTTTTCATAGCAACTGACTTCATGAACACAAGACATCAAGGGTGTATGAAAAAACTTCGACAATCGTACTTACGTAAAGGTGAATGAGGCGGGCTGATACTTCGCTGAAACATTATATTGGATAAAAATTACATGGCTGTTACAACTACTATAGTCTAAGGGAGATAACTCTCTAAACATCAATCTTGTAAATTCGTTTTAATCTCTTGGTTTTTTTTTCAAGATTTCAAAATTGTACTCATATCAATGAAAATTAAGGAAATAACTGCATAAGTAATCAAAAAGGCTTGTTATATCGTTGGTGAAGCCTGTAATTTAATCTCCAAATAGAATTCTAGTTTTTTGTATGTTGGAAAGATGGGGCTACACTATTTTCTTCCTGTGTGGCCCACTTTACCTCTTTATTGATTCAGGATAGTCGTCTAGAATTTCTTAGAGAACGTAAGAACATTTCTTGTATCAAAACATAAAAATTAAGGCACTAAGGTAATACGGAGACATCAAAGGTAACATGTTTATTACCCATTTTGATCAAACCTTAAAATGAAAAAGATGTTGTGTCAATAGATATAGAACTGGTAAAATATTTTGAAATGTAAATATGGAAGATCATAAGCGATTGCTATTTGAACCCTGAATTTTCTTGAAATTCAAATGTGACTTGAGGGAGAGAGAGAGAAAAAAAAGACTCACCTGGTGGACTAGTGGTCTCCTTGGGGATTTTGTTTTAGAATCTGAATTTGAACGAGCACGATATCTATTCAACACAAAATCGGCTGGACTCGAGGCATGCCGAGTCCGACCATCATTTGGGACCATCAATTGGTTCTCAAGAATCTGCCCCATGGGCGTACTGGCCCCCTGAGGTTTAGGTCCATGCTCATTCATCCTTGCATTCATTAAAGAATCCCTTAATTGGGATTCATCCATAGAATGGTCCATCTTATTTGCAGCTGAGGTAGTACTGTGCTTTTTCCCTGGTTTTTTAACACCTGACAAATCTGATTTAGACCGAGGTCTAAACTGATCAAAGAAATTTTTCACTTTTGAAGTAGCACTATGACTCCCAGATGGAGAATTTCCTTTACTTTCCTTGAAGTCGTCCCCTGATTTATTCCGCTGACGGGCTTTCCCTGAGAAAAGGCCTCTAAGACCTGTTGAGCCTGCCCGTGGACGAAATTCACCATCAGGGAAATCATTTGCCACATCCCGAACATCTGGCTCCAGGAGAGGCATAGCAAAAGCACTTAAATCCTGAAAATATATATGAAAAAACAATCCATGAATTTCATCCTACCTTTATAAAATGTCATTGTGTACATACATCATTGTAAATGGGAATCTGCACAAACACTTATTGTAAAGTATTCAGTAACTCGCTGGTATGGCAAAAATGCAGTGTAGGTTTATTAATCTTCAATAATTCACTTGGTTTTTTTTCTCTAATATTGATCAGCTAAAGACCACTCCTACAAGTAAAGCTAATATCTACACAAATAGATAATGAACTATGGTAAAGGACTTGTTATTTGTTTCTTTATTTTTTATTATAAAATCAAATCACCTGGAAAACCAAATATCACAACACTTATCTATAGTTTTTATGGAATGATCCATTCAAACATCTACAGTAGCCAGGTAAACAACAACATCTGTCATCATTTACACCAAATGACACTGGGACTCGTAACTCATCATTACTTCACCCAAATTTACTATGCAATCACTTTTCCCAAATTTACTACCCCATCAATTTTCCCAACTTCTCTACCACATTGTTTTACTCAAATTTATTAACTTATTGTTTTATCAAACTTTATTAAACCTATCATTTCACCCAACTTTTCTACCAAATTATTTTACTCAAATTTATTAACATTGTTTTACCCAAATTTATTAAACCCATCACTTTACTATCACATCTTTACCCCACTTGATCAAAACCATCATTTTATTCCACTTTACACACCACATCACTTCACCGAATTCATACCCTTTCTTTATTTCTCTCCTCTTTTTATTTTGGATGTTACACATTCTGAGAAAGTTTCTGAGAATTCGCCACTCCTACATCTGTCATTAAGTACAGGTGAATATGCCTGATTATATCCTTTTCAAGCCCAGCTGTTGTGTGCCAGAATGACACTAGACAGAGTTAAACAAAGATATTACAGGCTCTTTGTGACAGATGATGTAAATATGAGACACTGCACCCTAGTGTTAGCACTGCTGTGCTCAAAGACCTCATCAGCAGCCCATTCCTTTCAAGTCTCGGTATGTTATTCAACCTGTTGCACTGAGCATCCTCCCACTCACATCCTCCTCTCAGGTCTAACCTCCCCGCTTCTATAGGATACATGCTGTTCAAACACAGGTGCAATCCTAATACTTCAAGATCAGGTTCCACTTAAAGTCTTAAAAATATCTTTTAAGAATCATTGTGCCAATAATTTTTTTCTCTTTCTAATTTTTAAAAGACTTTTAAAGTTGTTATTGAATTCAATAATCAAAACCTACCAAAAGTTTAACGACAAGCACCTGAAGACACAACAATACCAAACCACTTTTCTTATCCCAAGTGTTTGAATATTCTAGAGCCTTCTTTAAATTGTCCTAAAGTGATTTGTTCATTAGAGATGAGATATATATAGATACCTAGCATACCTTTGGGTTGTTTTCGATATGTAAACAAGCTCAACATTGGGACTATCTTCCATTTCCAAAAATTTTACAATCTTGTTTGAAACATGAACTCAGTAAGGCTATATGCTACATCATACAGATAATTACATTTGTATAGAAGTGTCAAGAATGAAGAAATTTCTTGATTGTCAGATAAAATAAAGGGGGATAACTCAATGAAAACTGAACTTTACATGGAAATTCTTCAGTACAGAAGATTTCCTAGACTTAACCGTAGCAAGTGTATTAAAGGTATGTACAACAATACCTTTTCAATTCAACACTCTAAGCCAAACCTGGATTTTGTCAACTGAATTCAATCAATACTTGAAAAAATATCCTGAAATTGCATATTCATGAAATGGAATAACTCTAATTATCTTATCTTTCAATAATTTGAATGACAGGTAAGATTTTGATATCTAATCACATCCACTAAGTAAGAATTGACAGGTACAGATGAGGTACAACACTCCATCATTTATTGCTGATCATTCATAAAGTGAAATTAATCACCAATCACGATTTTTTCACCTAATTAATCCCCACCTGTATCATTCTTTAAAAACATCAAACATTGGTATGTCTATGTAAATTGATAATTTCTGGTACAGTACCTTAGATTTATATTGTTTTATATAACTTCCCTTACAAATATAAAGTTTACCTCAGCCTTTTTCATTGGCTGTTGTTTCGAAGTCTGTTCCTGAATCCATGACTTCTCCAGTTGCGATTTCAAACAGTACACATATAAATTTGTCATTTTTTCTGTTTCATAAATTCCTTCAGGATCAACCAAGACCATTCAAAAGCATCAACTATGTTTTGTAATCATTTGCTGTGTCCCAGTAAATCCATGTCTGAACCAAGAGAGGAAGAAGCACATTTATCGTGGTCCCAAATTTTGGTTATTTCCAGCTGTGCCACACATTTATTATGCAAGCACTAATGCCAGAAGTCTGCTCACAAGTAAAATGCATTTCATAATGTCAGACTTTTAACCATGAAAAAATGTCAAATCTTTAGAGATATCCTGAAAATAAAAACAGAATGTATTTATCTTCCATGAGAAACAGATTGCTTTTTCCTGTATACCTCCACATATTTCTTTTCTTCTTAAAAAAAGAAAACTATAAAGAATACAGATAGCATCCTTATACTCGTGTATCCCTTTATATCTGTGCAGCTCCTGTGGCACATACGAAATGTAAAAAAAAACACCCACTGAAGATGGACACATATGAATGTAAAATAAACACAATATTCACCTAATGCCCTTCTGTGATATATATTTTCAGACATATGTAAAAATATTATCTACCATGGAACATTATAGAAAGCTTACATACATATCCTGACACAAACCTTGCCACGCCAACTCAAATACATACTTATCATACCTGCCCACAAGCTGTACAACATGTACAACTGATATTAATGTGACAAAAGGCTTAATCAGTCAAAACAGCCTGGCTAGGCAAATTATTTTTTGCAAACATAAGCATCAAGCTATCTTTATCATTTGCTTATTAATTATTTACGTAAACTATTTAAACACTGAAAATTAACCATATATAAATAAAACTTGCAAATTTTGACTTCATTTTTGTTTTCAAAAAAAGTTGCTATGAAATATTGTTATGAAAACTGTAATTGCCCAAATTCATTACTGTTGTCATATCGTTGGCATGCAGATGCTGCTGCGATTTATAATTCAATTGAAAAATAAGATGGTATGATCCGAAAAACGAAAATTATGGAGGCAATTATGTACTTAAAAAAGAGAACTGAAGGCTGAAACAGATTGTACTAGGATTATATCTTCTGGCTACCATTCATAACACGACTAGTACAGCAACTGTTACTGTGCCAAGATTCCAGCAGAGAACTGGGTGAATGTTTATACCATAGAACACCGCAACAAATCAACAAGGGGATGAAGAATGAATTTATCCCGAGGCGGTCTAATTAGGAGGTGTAATGAAAATATAAGGAGAGCAGAGAGGAGGAGGAGGTGATATAATGTTCTAATGTGTGATTACTGACTGTTAAATACAAAACCATTTACCATACCACATATAGTAGCATAGTGTTTCCTCAACACTAGACCACCCTTGTATCATTACAGTATCATTAACAAGTGAAAATATCAAACTTGTAATATTCACACTTCTAAAACAACATATAGATAAAAAAAGAAAGAAAAGAAAAGTAATTTAGACTTTTCACAAAACAAAGCACATTTGCTGAAGTCAATATCCATAAGAAAACATCACTAAAGCCAACCACACAATTATATTTACAACAGTCTTCTTCAGCCAGACTTTCCATTAATCATCACCGTACAAAACAACGTAAATGCTAGACAGCTGTCCTAGGAAGAATTATTATACAGCAATCAACTTCTCTTAGCAACTCTATGTATCTCATCAATGCTGAATATGAAGCTCACAATAAATTTCTAAACAACAAATGGATTGTGCATTACGTAATAGAGTTGTCCAACAAGTAGAATTCAAATTCACCAACCTACGTGCAACACTACACGATAGTTTTAAGTAGAACTCACACTGAAGTATTAAGATAATCCACTACATATAAACACAGAGCAGAAAGTTCACTGAAGTATTTAGATAATCCACTACACATACAAACAGAGCAGAAAGTTCACTGAAGTATTAAGATAATCCACCACACATACACACAGAGTAGACAGTCCACTGAAGTATTAAGATACTATACTACACATACAGAGTAGACAGTCCACTGAAGTATTAAGATACTATACTACACACACAGAGTAGACAGTCCACTGAAGTATTAAGATACTATACTACACACACAGAGTAGACAGTCCACTGAAGTATTAAGATACTATACTACACATACAGAGTAGACAGTCCACTGAAGTATTAAGATAATATACTACACATAAACACAGAGCAGAAATTCACTGAAGTATTTAGATAATCCACTACACATACACACTGAGTAGATACTATACTACACACACAGAGTAGACAGTCCACTGAAGTATTACACACTACACACAAAGTTCACTGAAGTATTAAGATAATCCACCACACATAAACACAGAGTAGAAAGTTCACTGAAGTATTTAGATGTTCGACTTGTGTTAACACCAAATTGACAGCTCACTGAAGTATTTAGATAATCCACTATATGTTAACACCAACTCCACAGTTCACTAAAGTATTTAGATAATCCACTATATGTTAACACCAACTTGACAGCTCACTGAAGTATTTAGATAATCCACTATATGTAAACACCAACTTGACAGCTCACTGAAGTATTTAGATAATCCACTATATGTTAACACCAACTTGACAGCTCACTGAAGTATTTAGATAATCCACTATATGTAAACACCAACTCCACAGTTCACTGAAGTATTTAGATAATCCACTATATGTAAACACCAACTCAACAGTTCACTAAAGTATTTAGATAATCCACTATATGTTAACACCAACTCCACAGTTCACTGATGTATTTAGATAATCCACTATATGTTAACACCAACTTGACAGTTCACTGAAGTATTTAGATAATCCACTATATGTTAACACCAACTTGACAGCTCACTGAAGTATTTAGATAATCCACTATATGTAAACACCAACTCAACAGTTCACTAAAGTATTTAGATAATCCACTATATGTTAACACCAACTCCATAGTTCACTGAAGTATTTAGATAATCCACTATATGTTAACACCAACTCCACAGTTCACTGAAGTATTTAGATAATCCACTATATGTTAACACCAACTTGAAAGCTCTATGAAAGTTAACCTCAGCATCGTCATTGACTTGTTCATGCATCAGCGTTATATTTATAAGTACACAACCTAAAACAACTACACTACTTGAGTGTCGTTAACCTGTCAAGCGAAGATAATTGACCTCTAGGAATTTGACCAGTCCTTTATCACTCAAGCAATGACCTAAGGGTGAGGAGATTCTATACAATGATATTTTCAAAACAAAAACAACTGTCCTGGTGTGGATGTTTATAATGATATACTATCATTCTACAAAACAATTGGAATATGTGATATTTTCACATATCATCTGGGGTCATAGCTATAAAAAAGATGTCAGTTTCCCTGATTTTAATGTGATTATCAACACAATGACATTAAGATGACCAATATTTCCGTAAATGTGATATAAATGGATATATATATCTAATTTTGCAGAAAGTTGTTGAGATAAATGAACAATTTGTCACAAATTTCATTTAAAGAAAATGTGAGATGAAACTCTTCTGAAGACAACAGCAAAATGACAAGATTCAAAAGAAAAATAAATTCTGAAAAAAAAGGTTCAACTTTTTCAAAAATAAAATAGATGGTCAATATATTAGATTTACCAATTATTGAATCCATAATTAATCCATTTTTTAATTTCATTTTTTAATCACTCTACATTTTACTGATATTTTTCCCTACTGTCTGGTAAAGTCCTACAAAGTCAAGGGTAATAGAATGTTTTAAAGGCTCATCAAGGAAAAAGACATTATAATCATTATAATTAATTATTGTATAGTCAACCCAAAAATTCAAAACACAATTTAGAAACTTTTGAAAACTAATCAAAAGTAACAAAACACTAGGAGATTCTAGCCTTTTACAAGATTTGAGCAGGACATGATAGCCAATATCAAATTGACCTGATGAGATCAGGAGAAGTGGCGACACTGTTTCCCGTATAAAAAAATATTCAGAAATGAATTTAAAAGTATAAATTCCTCCTTCCTCTAGAATTTTTATAAAAATTGTAAATGCAATTTAATTTGTTTTTATAGTAATATAAGTATTTCCTGTTGGACTTATACAATTTTTTTAACTATCCAAACTTCCTCTCTCCTTCCAAACTTGCACTTGCACAGAAGAATGTAAACATCAGCCAAAATTTCTGACTCTAATTACTTAATCCTCAGAGATCAAATGTGACAGTTCCCAAACATCTCTCAACACTTCCAAAACATGGTTAAACACTTCAAGGCGTCAAACATAGTGTGTATCGGTTGAAATATTTCCGTCAAAACATGGAAACATGAAACGTCTGCCACAAACACAACAGACAGTGAAGACTGCTCATCAAGGCTCTGGAGTTGGAGAAAAACACCACATGCGAATCGTTCCATGTGTTTTGGGTTACACAAGAACAAAATCCAGCCCAGCTGTAGTTAAATGGTGCCAATTATCCTAAAATCTCATCCTGGGTGAGATTGTTGAACATGATCAGAAAACGAAACACACACAACAGAAACTGGTTACCTCTCCCCTAGTTTTACTGTAATACTTTGTTCCACACAGAAACTTAGATATTCTCCCAGTAATACGGAGTAATACTAACTCCAAACTTATTAGCAGCAGCACTGCTGGCAATGTATGTACCTGATGGGTGTCCAAAAACTTCATGTCTAGTGTCTATCAAGCATACAGTTAGTGAAGTCTTACATAGAGAGGTCTTTGAACTACTTATACATACTATTTATCATAGAAGCGATCAACTTTCAGACTCTTCAGAACGAAGAACTTCTTATATTTAATCGCAGAATGGATCAACTTTCAGACCATGAATCTATAACTTTTTTTTACATTTTACTGTCGTAAAATTATGTATTTGTAGTTCTTCCAAGACCTGACAAACATCTAGAATAATATAATATGAACACAGAACCTTGTCTTATATCACATCTATCTACCAAAGAAATGTTTGTTATCCAAAAACTCCTGAATACATCACACACCTGTATACATCACAAACCTGTATATAAACACCAGTGAGACACATGAATACATCACAAACTTAAAAACATTGGATGCCTGATAACCAAAAAATAAAAGAAGTGAATACCCTAGATACGTGGATAAGTTAGAAACCTGAATACACCAGAAACCTTCATAACAAGAGATCTTTATACTTCAGAGTCATCAATTCATGCTAGAAACTTAAAACACTGGAAATCTGTAAATCTCGACACCTTGATAATCCAGTTCACTAAAAACATCCAGGAAAAAATCTATCCTCTACAAATGTTCAGTTATATCCCAGCTTGCTCATTTCTGTTAGCATGTAGGTATAACTCTTTGTGTATATACGTGTATAAAAATGTTGTGTTCTCCAGAAAACAGTGCTATTTTCTCAAACTTATTAACATGCAGCATAAGAACCAAGAACCTAGCACAGCAACTTAATCTTGAATTACGTCATATAGTACATTACTTTACACATTTATAACATTTCCATTAATCATGTTGATGCACATTACATCTTCCACAGTTATCCAAACAGCACACAAAACATCTCAACTTCATTACATTGAGGTTTCTATAATCTTATGGAGATCCAGTGTGTATTAGTAACTTACAAAAGTACACATTTGTTTATTCAGCGTCAGACAACCAAAGCTGCTGACGTGTTTTAAGATATTTCTCAAGATATTTTTCAAGATATTTTTGGTACTGACAAATACAAGTATTGCAGGATCTGGAGTGAAAAAAATCCTGAAGGTTGTAATATCGTGTATAATATCACTGACTTCCCCCTCAGAGATTAACTTCAACTTGACAGTAGAAATACATACACTGTGCATCAGTGACAGAAATGTCATTTACACATTTACATGTTGTATTATACAACAGTTCAGTATGCATGTACTGTAAAAGCACAACTTTAACCTTCGATAGTAAGATTACCTCAGTCTGTCAAGGTATGTACAAGATACGTCTATATAAATATTATTATGTACAACTGACCTTGACCTTTAACCTTCAGCATTACATCATATAATTAGTCTTGAGCAGTAGATCACAGTGTAACACGTTAGGTACATCACATACACTTTATGTTGGTGGCCGTTATCTGTATGTATATATTATGACAACATTAATAAAATATAACCAATCTATCAGTTATCTGCCCTTGTTTTCTAGATCATGTTGATTACACAACAGTATGAACCATCATTTGTATACCTTTCTCACATCCTTTTCACCCCCTTGTAAATGAAACAAAAAATAGAATAAGGCAACACACAAATACCAGTAGTTTTTTAAGTCATTCTTTTGTGGAATCTGATAGTAGGGTAAAATATGAGAGTTTTAATACCTGTTAAAAAAGTTAAAAAAAAGTTCACTTGTGTTGGGAGTTTAATTCTGGTGATCGCTATATACATAGAATGGTTCTTATCACTGACCATTTGTACAAATCATGTTACTTCCACACCTGATAATTAATTCACTGCAAACTCGTGAATACAGGTAACTTATTTGTCAACAGGTGGAAGTCTGACATATGGTATGAATCGTGTTGATGACGCAGCATGACGTTAGTTATATGGAAAAACATGTCTGACAAATCTAAACATGATTAATAACGCTGTCCTTTTGTAAGGTCAACAGACGTTCAGGTTTAATAATGCTGAAGATTAAGATGATTTCACACTTCTCTATACAGGCAGTTTTGGATTTTGTATTACACCAACACTTTCTCATATATTTGTTTCTGTAGTGATTTTACCTCTATCTATCCCTACACATAGCTAAATATTAATCAGTCAAGATTTGAATCTAAAAAGCTGTTGTCCAATGAAATCTGAAACAATGTCATTTTATCCCAGTATAAAGAGTGTATTCGATCCTTAAATGGTACCTACATTTCATAAATTCAAGGTTGTGTTTTGCTGAAGGGTCAAATGATACCAAAATCAACAGCAATCCCAGTTGAAAATGTTTGATGAAATGTGATTCTGAGTGCAGGTGTTAACAGTCTATACCTTATGAAGATGTTGAAATGTCAGGTGCCATGCAGTCTACATGAAAGTCAAACCAAAACATTGATGGAATAAGGTTTTGACTTGATTCCAAGACATCAAGTAATAAACCAGCACTTATATTTTATGTTTACATCTGTAAATACCAGGACAGACATCAAATCAGTAGGGTCTTATTAAACTTTCTCCTACATGAGGAATTCTCACTTGGTATTCATGGCATTTGATCAGTAGGACTCAGATTAAACTTCTTGTACACGTGACTGGGAAATCTCACATGCTCTCCACAACATCAGATCAGCTGGGCTCATATTCATATTCTGGTGTATGAGACGGGGAAATTTCATATTTTGCTCATGGTATCTGATAAGCAGGACTCGCTTTAAACTTTTTTATATATAAGACAGAAAAAGCTCACAGGTTACACAGGGCCAAATTTTTCTGTCATGTCAAACGGCCTACTACCAAGGAATGTTATAATGAAAATGAAGTCATACTCATTATCTCTCTGATGTAAAGCCAAAAGTCAAATAGTTCATAAAGCTTGCATGAAATTTTAACATTATCTATGAGAAAAAAGAAACATATTGTCAGCATATATTCACAATCTATTCTATTCAGTACATTTTGGGCTGACACTGCATAGTGTCTCATTCACTAAGGAAAATTGACTACCACTACTAGGGAACCTAATTATACACACTAAACTGTTACCAAATACTAATTACACTTGACAGCGGATGTATGATTTAGTGCCCTGCCTGTGAGCATTTATTTGAATTATCAGTCTCGAACCTATTTATCTATTAAGTCTGAGGACTCCGATAAAAAAACATAATCAAGAAAGCAGCACTTCTTTTTAACAGGTGCTTTTAACAATCCACCTACAAATCTGCCTCAAGTTTTATATGTCTCTATATCACAGAGGTCATTATTTATTTGAATGCCTCTGCTAGGATTCAAACCCGGGACCTCCGGCATACTAATTTAACGCTCAACAAATTGAGCTAGATAAAGTTCTCTCTAACAGAGCGCTATATTGCGGCTAGCATTTACCATGGTTACAAACTCCCCCTGCAGGAAATAACTTATCCTCTACTTTCTGGGGGTTACAGGGATTCATGTGAAAGTAATGTGAAGTATTATTCCTGAGTCCCTACATGAGTGTCAGTGTAACAGAGGTCATTACTTATTTCAATGCCTCCACTAGGATTCAAACCCGGGACCTCTGGTGTACTAGTCTGACACTCAACTGATTGAGCTTAAGAGAAGTTCTCTCTAGCCAAGCAGCATAATGCAGCTAGTATTCATTCACCAGGGTTATATCTACATCAGTTATTTAATCATTATTCATTCCTATAAAGTTTTGTAAATTTTTACAAGGGATTTGTGTTTAACAATTTCCTGTACTGAATACAAACTTTCTGCTGGTCAAAATGAACTGTTTGTCAGATTCAGTAATCCAAACTTTATTGTCTCAAGTATGAATTTGATAATTCTTTCTTCAGAAAATCCACAGAAACATCATCCCGAAACAAACCACATGACATGTCACATCTCAAAACATTTAAAACATCCTCCTGTTGTTCATTTACATATTTAATATGTAAGATAATACTTAACATAATTAATATGTGCATTAATCTTATATTTCAGAATAACTGACTGCCATAAGCATTTGTTCTATACTTAACTAATAACAGATATTAAAACTTGACTAGTTAACAAGATTAGACAAATACAGTCATCTATTTACAGAGTATAAATATTATCATTATATACGTAAAAAACTTCTGATGAACTTTAATAACTTTTGACCACATTCTCCATCATCTAATGCCAAAAGGTTTGTTTTGACAGATCATTCAAGCATGTAGTCAGAAAACAAGAAGTAATGACATCTGACGACTTATCATTGTCACGGAGATACATAATCATTATTGTTTATACATATCATTTTCTGGAACAGGTGGCCTATGTACACCTTCTGAAGTCATAATGGTTTCTACGCACTACTACCAGAACAAATTGACCTAAATTCTTATTGGAACTGGTCACAAGGTCAGTCAAATTATTAGGATGCGTTGAAGCTCAGACCCAAACCACTATATTTTTGATGGCTATCATTTACTTGTGAAATATTTGTCTCATTTCATAAGGGAACTTTTTGTACATATCGGAAAGTCAGAAATGATTAATATATATCTGTGATATATCATATGTCCTTGGTACTTAGTAAAGATGTAGGAAATGAAGAAATCACTTAATTGTACTTAATTTGTGAGGAAGGTAGTTCTATAATATAAATCTCATGGCATCAATCCTGCAAACATTTTAAATAAAAATAATGGTATATTATTCAATGATGCCATTTATATTGTCATTACCTTTAACCCATAACAGTCACCTGA